ATTAACCTGTACCAGATCACCTACACCTTTCCATCTACTCCAGAAGGGAAGCTTTATTGCCTTTATTCAGAGAATTAATCCAAGCCTCGCTTTCAGCATTCATCACGTTTTTATCCATCATCACAGGCTGATCCACTCTATGCATGTGATAAGAGGGTGAACTGACTTCTTTTCCATGCTCTGACTGGGAGAAGCAGACAAAATCCTTGGTCTCCTTCATGGGCCATAGTCAGTGGTTAGAAGGCTAGCCCCTAGTCCTCTCCAAAAGCTCCTGTCCCGGTTGGGTCTGTCTCAGTTATCTCCACTTGTATTTATGGGCCAGAAAGCAGGACCATGAATACCTGGGAGTAGCATACTTAACCACTTTCTATGCTTCCTAGTGTACAATCTCTCACTAACTCCAACTTTACATGCATTAGTGTCACCAACTTTACAACATTTACAATGCATTAAACCACAAAAACTTAACATGTTGTACAAACCAACAGTAGGCACCTACCTACAGTACAGAGTTAAATCGGGCAGTGAGGAGGCAATATAATGCCTCCTCCCCACCTGTCAAATGCCCTGTGAAGAGCAATTAGAAAGTGGATTGTTCTTCAGAGGGCACTGCATGTGCGTAAGAGCCCAGAAGATTTCTGGGTCTAAGGGTGTCTGTGCCAGAGTCATTAGATTAAGGAGCCTGAGAAGTAAAAGGATTGTTGTCAACTGAATTCAAGCTCAAATCAACAGCCAAAAAAGCAATTTACGCTCTAGATCCCCTGACAACTATTGTTACCCAACAGTGCAAAGACTGAGCCACTTCTGCACATGCATGAAAAAAAAATAAATTAATTTTTAGAGTTCATCTATCATGTGTCCCAATGGTGAACAGTCTCTCCAAAGGTATAAATGAAAATTTCCAAGAAGATGCCCAGCTTGGAGGTTTTGCAGCAGGAAATTGATGTGCAACATTAGGGCAGCAATAGCTGCAAGCCTAACCAAAAAAATGAAAAAACACTCTACAAATAACAATGCATAATAAATATTTTCTGTGGATTTTTACCCTTAATTAAATTTTATTTTAAGCAAGAATTAATTATTATATTATTTTTTTTTTTGTTTTTCCTCTGTTGTAATGCTTCCTTTGTTTTTCACATTTGAGTGCTGCTGCCCCTATGCCTTCAGTCTACAGTTTTGGCATTAGTCTTCAAACAACACGGTCAGACCAGTTTTGGCAAGTAAATGCTTTTCTTGGATGGCAAGATATCAGGTAAAACAAAGAAAGGTTCAACTTTGATACCGGTCCAATAGGATGTTAGCAAAAGAGTGATTTTCATTGGCCAGCTATATTGACCTCAATAAAAGATAAGTCAACCATGGAAAGCCTTCCAGACCGGAAAGAATATAGTTGGGTAATTTAGGAAGTTGGGATGTCACAACTGACAACAAGCAGGTAACCTTTGCATACTGGGATAATAACTAAACTGCTTTTAATAAAATGTGCACAGAAAAAATAAAATTAATGTTTAAAGGGTTTCAGCTAGTAGACATAGCTGAAGGTAGGCTACAACAGAACATCGCTTTAATTAAGATGGCCTCAGAAATGAAATGATTAAGAAATGGTCCAGATTAGACTCTGGGGTGGATTTACTAAAGGAGTAGAGAATGTTCAGTACATGATACGAAGCTATGCTGACTTCGATTGTGCAATCACATGTGAGCAAAAATCCTTCTATTTTTTAATTGTTCCTTAAAGAGGAACTCCGGGGAAAATTTTTTCTAATACAGTTGAGCTGTCCCTGGGGCTCCCGACTCCCAGACCTCCCCGCACGGTATTGCAGCCTTGTACGGTGGACTGTTCCTGACAGAGTCACACCATAGACCAGCTGTGGACGTAAAGATTTTAGGAATAGTCCACCCCTGGACGTTGGGGAGTCCCATTTTCCAGAGGACCACAAGAGTGAGTGAGTATAGGCTCTGCGCTCCCCCTAGACAAAACAAGCAGTTAACTAACCCATGTGGTGCGGGCATAGCCCCACTGCATGGGGAAAAAATATTGTGCTTTAAACATGATGTAAATGTTTACTTAGCGTCACTTCATTCGCTTAGCCAAGTGAAAATTCAGTTTGCAAAGTAAACACACTCTACTGCCTTAATAAGCCAACCCAAATGACAAGTCTATGGGCACCTGCAGTATCTTCCTGTTGATCTAGCAGAAAAAGCAATGAAGTTGGAATAAACGTGTCTAATTGCAAATGATTTCGAAAACCAAATATTTTTCATGTACTTCATGCCATAGGGAAATGCTGCACTCAAGAATCCAGATACAGGAAGATGCAAAGGATATTATAAAAGGTGTACAAATCCCTGTGTAAATGAATACGTAATAAGTTAACACCTTGTGCAAATACACATAAGTGAAAAAACTCAAATTCTACCCCACAAGAATTCAATACTGAAAGCAATACACAATAATGAAAACACATTTAGAAAATAAGTAGAAAATAAAGATAATAGTAAACATAAAAGAGTCCATTGCCAGTATCCAATCTCAGGTCCCCAAAAGGGCAATCTAGTATCCATATGAATAATATGTGCATAAATGCAGCATGCATTATTCCCAAATCACCAGACAGCTGAAAGTGCTACCTCCTTAGTAGATTTCAAAGGTCTCTGAATAATGATCAATAGCTCCTCAACACCCAAATGATGTCACTCCAGGGTTCACTGCCAGGAGACTGTAGAGTAGTATCACTAAAAATCTCATTTTATTACATGTAAAATATACTCACAAGCGTCACAAGATACTAAAAAGCATAAGCATATTTGTTGAACATTGGCAGGCATGATGACGTCACAGGCCTCTAGCCCAGCCCAAGGCCTTTTCCGTCTGCAAATGAGACGTCTTCAGGTGACAAGTAGGAGGAGCTACGTTTTACTACTCTGTGATATCCTGTAGTTATCCTCCTACTATTCCTGAGGGAAGTTGGATATCCTGGTAAGTTGATGATTGACCAAGCAAGACAGGAATGTGGCAGTGAACCCTATTATCTTTATTTTTAACCCATTTTCTAAATGTGTTTTTTTTGATTGCCTATTGATTTAAATCATTTTTTTTTTTTGGAGTGTGGGATTTGAGTTTTTTCACTTATTCCCTGAGATAAGGGTTGGATTTGTCTGCTGATATCTTATTCCACCTCATGCTATAGCATAAATATGAAGACTTGCCTGACCCAAAGCTTGATGCCTTAAGCTTGACCAAAAGACATCTTCAGATGCTTAGATTAGCCTTTCTCAACCAGGGTGCCGAGGCACCCAGAGGTGCCTTGAGGTTTCTTCAGGGGTGCCTTGGCAAAATATCTAAAAATTGCCTAAAACCTGTATACAAGTCAGCGGGTGGGACAAGTCTGCCTTTTAGTTACACAAAGCCACAAGTTTTCATTGTGCACCTTTACAACCTTCCAGCTGCCGGAGTCCTGACAACCAATGACATCATCAGTTGATAAGGAGGATGTCAGCTGCCTCCACAGCATCCTAGTTTGACCCTCCTGTCAGGGATCCTACAGCGGTAGCCTCTAGCACTCCACAGACCGGATTCCCCCAAGGCGCGGAATCTAAGTCCCTACCTGCTTGTTCACCAGAGCCCCTGATGGTGGGGATGGACTTGGAGCAGGCCGAGACCAGGTCGCGGCCCCTGAGTTCACCCAGCTGTGGTAGGGGCACCGTTGGAGGTGTATAGCAGGTGAGAGTCTGATGTGAGGAGGTCACAAGAGCAGCGTCAGGCAGGCCGGGTCGGTAACAGTGGTGGCAGCGTGGTGCAAAATCAGCAGGCAGAGGAATAAACAGGTCACAAGCCGGGTTCATTAACAGGAGATCAGAACGTGCAGGGTTAAGCAGGAGAATGGTCAGACAAGCCAGGGATCAGAACAGGAGACAGACACCAAATCAGGGTCAGGCAGGGTCGGCAACAAACAATCTACTCACAGGAACTTCAGGAAACAGGTAAGACCATACGGCACTTGAGCATTGCAAGAGCTGGGTTTAAATAGGCCGCCCAACTCCTGACAGGCGCTCCTGGGTCCTAGTGCCTGCCCGGCGCTGTCATTGGTGACAGGCGCGCCTGGGTCCTAGTGCCTGCCTGCCTGTATGTCTTGTCAGGATTCTACGCATGTGCAGATTCGATCGCCGAGGCGATCTTCCCATTCCCTGACACCTCCCCTGCCCCTCTCCATCAGTGCTGGGGTCACATTAGCTCAGTGATGGAGAAAAACTGAGGGAGAAGAGAAACACTGGAATACTAGTCAGTACCAGTGTGCAAAAGTGTATTTGCTTTGGAAGAATAAATCACCTCTAATGTTGGGTGTCCTACATGTGTGGATGTTGGTGTGTTATATGAAACAATTAGAATAGTTTTTCACATTTTAGAATGGGATGTCTCAAGACTGTCCATAATTTTAAAGGGTGCCTCGGGACTGTCCATAATTTTAAAGGGTGCCTTGACTGAAAAAAGGTTGAGAAACACTGGTTGGACACCAGGCATCATCTAAGCCATTCTCTGACGTCTATGACCAACTTCACTTAAGGTCTTCCACTCCTTCACTTTGTTCTCATGAAAAATATATGACTAACAACCCTTAAATATCCATCCATTTGCCAGAGCAGGTCCTCTGTCTGATAAGCAACTCATTTTTTTGACATTTCCTCTTCCTTACAGCCGATGGTGACAACAATTGTCTTCCTCTGCCTGAATATACCATATTTAGCAGTTCATGCTGGACTCCTCTATTCTCATGAATAGTTGGTGGATTCAAACATTGAAATCAGAAATAATGTAAGGTTTGGATTTTGAACCAGCTCAGTCCGACCCAGGGGCGGACTGACAACTCATGGGGCCCCAATCAATAGGGGATCATGGGGCCCCTGTGTCCTTGCCCAAACTCAAAAAAGCCTATGAAAAAGGTACCAGGGGCATCTCATGGGGCCCCCTACTGACCCCGGGCACTCGGGCAGTGCCTGAGTTTCCAAATGGTCAGTCCGCCCCTGGTCAGACCATTGTAGAATTCTCTTGTGAGTAGTCACTTCTCTTTTACTGCCATAGTTCTGAACATTATTATGAGTCTGGTGTGATCTCTGCATTGTTAAGTGATGTTTTTTAGGATGGACAGATTTCACGGTCACCTAACATTTCTTCCTATTTACATTTGGATTTGGGCTTTGCTACAGTGCCAGTGTTTGAGTATATTAATATCTGATAGAGAATGACAGCTAGCATGGCGGTCAGATGGTGTTTACTTAGCACCAGGACACCATCTACATGGAGTTTGTCTTTTCTTCTTGTGATTGTTTCCACCAAAAGCATGCAGTTTACTTAACTGACATCAAATAAAAGTATCCCTAATGTGGAAAGGATGTTAGATCCTTCGATGAGATCAATGTGTACTATGTTTGTGGTTTATACATACACTATATTGCCAAAAGTATTGGGGCGCCTGTCTTTACACATACATGAACTTTAATGGCATCCCAGTCTTAGTCCGTAGGGTTCAATATTGAGTTGGCCCATCTCAGCTATAACAGCTTCAACTCTTCTGGGAAGGCTGTCCACAAGGTTTAGGAGGGTGCCTATGGGAATGTTTGACCATTCGTCCAGAAGTGCATTTGTGAGGTCAGGCACTGATGTTGGATGAGAAGGCCGGGCTCCCAGTCTCCGCTCTAATTCATCCCAAAGGTGTTCTGTCGGGTTGAGGTCAGGACTCTGTGCAGGCCAGTCAAGTTCCTCCACCCCAAACTCGCTCATCCATGTCTTTATGGACCTTGATTTGTGCACTGGTGCGCAGTCATGTTGGAACAGGAAGGGGCCACCCCCAAACTGTTCCCACAAAGTTGGGAGCATGAAATTGTCCAAAATATCTTTGTATGCTGATGCCTTAAGAGTTCCCTTCACTGGAACTAAGGGGCCAAGCCCAACCCCTGAAAACCAACCCCACACCATAATCCACCCTCCACCAAACTGTACACTTAGAACAATGCAGTCAGACAAGTACTGTTCTGGCAACCGCAAAGCCAAGACACGCCCATCAAAATGCCAGAGAAGCGTGATTTGTCACTCCTGAGAACACGTCTCCACTGCTCTATAGTCTAGTGGCGGCGTGCTTTACACCACTGCATCCAACGCTTTGCATCGCACTTGGTGATGTAAGGCTGCTCAGCCATGTAAATCCATTCCATGAAGCTCTCTATGCACTGTTGTGCTAATCTGAAGACCTTACGAAGTTTGGAGGTCTTTAGCTATTGACTGTGCAGACAGTTGGCGACTTCTGTGCACTGTGCGCTTCAGTATGCACTGACCCCGCTCTGTCATTTTACGTGGCCTACCACTATGAGTTGCTGTTGTTCCCAGTTGCTTCCACTTCGTTAGCAAGGAAATGTTACGGATGCAGTTATTGCACAGGTGGAAACCTATCACGGTACCGCGCTTGAATTCACTGAGCTCCTGAGAGCGACCCATTCTTTCACAAATGTTTGTAGAAGCAGTCTGCATGCCTAGGAGCTTGATTTTATACACCTGTGTCCATGGAGGTGATTAGAACACCGGAATCCAATGATTTGGAGGTCTGGCCCAATACTTTTGGCAATATACTGTATTTTGGTACAACTCTGTGGAGCTATCTGGCCTGCTACGCAGGTCATTGTGATATAGTAGCAGCTGCAAACTGTTGTGCCATGCTTAATTTGTTCATCATCATCATCATTTACAGTTGTTACAAGTGCTGCAATTAGTGGAGTGAAGGCAGGATTTTGTTTTGTAGTAATGCAAATTGGAATAGACGGTGTTCAAAGTTACTCAATATTGAGAAAGATATCTGAGCTAGCATTGCTGACCTCGGCTTATTGTGAGGCTGTTAATTTGCCCCATTAGTTTCTATGCTCTCTGAATCACTGACCTAAGTTAAGTATGCAGTAATCCCCCCACTGAAAAGCGATTCACAGTGAAGATATTCAAAGACTCATTTGACAAGTAGCTCATGGGGGATATGTTGCCTCCTGGACACCTGTTTAACCCATTGAAAGCCCATAGTACTATACTGGAACCATCTGCATTGCACATGGTGGCATAGCAGTTGCAGCGTAGCCCCACGCACTTGAATTGGTCATTTGTGGCAGCGGTTCCATCTGCTGAACATGACGGATTATAGTTTTTGCATATATTATTATATTAACATAGCCACGAACCATGTTAACTTGCGGCTCAACAGTCGGGATAATAAAACTGTGGCTCAACTGCCTGTTTTTACCGCTCCTTGGCTGTCCGTGTAAATGAGTCTTAGTGCAATCAAAACCCCTGATATGATGTCTAAGTCAGAATTGTCACCAATGGGTTATCAAGACAGCCAAGCAGCCAGTATTTTCAGAAATAAAGGTTAGAAATTGTAGCCTATTTACTTCTCTCAGCAGAGGTTTCCTATAAACATTCACACTTGAAACACCTTGGCAGCCCTGTTCATGTAACAAGCAAAAAGTGACACCAGAAGAGAACACACTGCCTTGTGAAAGGATGAAGAACACCCAACCTGATGACTGGCCACATCCATTCATTTTATGTCTCTGGCTGTCTTTTGGGCTGTTAATTGGCCTGAGTGTGGGTAGCTTAACTACTTACCTATCGGGCACTTATACCCCCTTCCTGTCCAGGCCAATTTCCAGCTTTCAGCGCTGTCACACTTTGAATGACAATTGCACGGTCATGCAACACTGTACCTGTATGAAATTTCTATAATTTTTTCACACAAGCAGAGCTTTCTTTTGGTGGTATGTACTCATCTCTGGGTGTTTTATTTTTTGCGCTATAAACAAAAAAAGAGCAAACATTTGAAAAGAAAAAAGTTTCTTTGTTTCTATTATAAAATTTTGCAAATAGGTAATTTTCTCCTTCACTGATGTGCGTTGATGAGGCTGCATTGATAGGCAGCACTGATGGGCACTGATAGGCACTAATAGGCGGCACTGATGGGCACTGATAAGGTGGCACGGATAGGCAGCAATGATGGGCACTGATAGGCAGCACTGATAGGCGGCACTGATGAGCTGGCAGTGATGAGGCGGCACTGATGATGCTGCATTGATAAGCAACAATGATAGGCACTAATAGGCGGCATTGACTGGCGACACTACTGGGCATTGATGGGTGGCACTGATGGGCAGCACTGATGGGCAGCATTGATGGGCGGCACTGATGGGCGGCACTGATGGGCACTTGTAGGCAGCACTGCTGGGCACAGGTGGGCAGCACTGGTGATTGGCACTGATGGGCACTGATCATCAGTACCCTGGTGATCGGTGCTGATTCGTCCTCTGACAATTGCCAGTTATCGACAGTACTTTCGTCATGCTGTGGCAGCGTGAGGAAAGTGCAGCCGATAACCGGCAACTGCATTTACTGGTGATCTGCTGTGTCATTGGACACAGCTGATTACGTGGTAAAAGGCCGCTGTGATTGGCCTTTCGTCACATCACATGATCAGCTGTGTCCGTAGGACACAGCGATCACGGCGATCCCCGAGGGCGTGTTCTAGGAGGACATCATATGACGCCCTTCTAGAACTGGCCAGCCGCAGTGAAGCCGTCATTCGGCTATCTGTGGTCGGCAAGTGGTTAAAGTGGTATCAAGCCCCAAACCAAAAATGTAATATATTGCAGTTTACCAATCCTTAGAAGGGATGAGGTGGCTGCATCAGTTTTCTTTTTTAGGCTTTTTTCCCTCTGTTATCCCCTGGTGATATAGCCAATACCTCCTGTATTAGAGTTCCCCCACTCTGGATGAAGGAGCGCAGGGGGCACATTTGGACAGCAGCATTGTCAGTCTGGGGAGGAAGGGAGTGTCAGATGCAGATTTCGATACACTAACAGATTGAAGCCAAACTGCAGATAACACTTAATGGGCAGTTAAAGCAAACAGTTTTTTTACTCCTTTTGGGATTAAGTTTCCACATAAAGAAATAAAAGCTGATCATTGTAAGCACCCCCGTGAGTGGAATTTGGTTTGTCTCATCCCTGTAACCGCTATATCTTCAGGAGAGTTTGTTCTTTTGCAAAACAACACGACTTACTGACCAGGTCACCTGGTGAAAATGAAAGAAAGCCTAAAAGAAAATGAATGTAGCCATCACATCTAACAATTGGTAAGCTGCAATACAATAAATTCCTCAGGAATCAGTCACAGCCAGCTCTCATATCCTGGTGACCAGCAAAGGTAAGAAGACCCAGCTGCAGGAAGACGGCGCTGGACCCCAGGCAAAGAATAACAAAAAACAACAAGTTCACTTTTGGTAACCCTAAGTCCACATCCAAGCATTTTCCGCAGCATTTTGCAGAAACGCACTACAGTCCATTTAACATGATTTCCTACGGAACACGTTCACATCTCGGCATTTTTACCCAGTGCGTTTTTTGGAAAGGGTCAGGGACTTTTTTGAACACAAAAAGTTGCATTTTTGGTTCTATAGACTTCAATGAAAACACTGCAGAAAAGCATGTAGTGTGTTTTTGCTGCTTTTTTGCTGCGTTTTAAATCTTCCTAGCAACAAGAATAAAATGCAAAATGCATCAAAAAGTGGCAAAAATGCAAAACGCAATGCAAAAAGGGATTATATGCAAACTGCATAGGTGTGAACCTAGCCTAACATCCGTTATTTAGGGTGTAACAACTACTACCATAGAGCACCTGCCCCCCGCCCATCTGATCCCTCGCTTTGACACCGAGCAGGGGATCTTCTCCCCGCACCCGCTGTCACAATTTTATGACTGCTGCGTCATTTATTCACAGAGTTCTGTGAATGAATGGACTACAACTACCATCAGACATTGCAGCAGGTGGCTTGTAGTTCTCACAGAACTGCAAGGGCACTGGTGGGTTCTTTTAGGCTCCATGCACACTGGGCATTTTAATAACACTGGTAACGTTAGCTGTGTAAAGTCATGTTACAAACGAGAGTTTTTCAGAGTTGTTTAGCGTTTTTGTATTAGCGTTTAGCT